ACAAATATTAATATTAAAATTAAATGCTTAACGGCCCATCAACACAGGATAGGTCATTAGGGCCAACAAATGGTCAACAAAAACAAATGCTAAATAAAAACATCAAACCAAACTGAAAGGTAAAAGACAAACGTCAAATTGAATATTGAAAGTGGCCACTTTCAGTATTCAAATTTTATTTAAAAGACCAACAGCTTTCAGATAGCCTAAAATTGAAGAGACAGTTATGTTTTCAAAAAGAGATTTAAGACATGTAATGTTATTATAGAAGTTTTCTCGAGTTGACTTAAAGTCAACACAATCTAATAAGAAGTGTTTCACTGTAAATGGTTAAACATATGTAAAATAACAATAACACATTATATTACAAGTAAAGGGAGATAATCACATATAATAATGAAAAGCAGTAATAATTATCACAGAAAAAGAAAATATCCCAGGTTTCTGAGTGATTGGGAGTCCCCTACCTACAAAGGCCCCCGGGATATGACTCTTTTGAAACAATAAATATATAAAGATATGAAAAGCATTAAATGTGATTACAGATAAGTAGTATTCAGAATAAGTAAATAAAAGACATAGTTAATAGTGAATGACTTAGGACTAAGGAATAAAACACTATGAAGTGGAATATTCATACAATGCTAATATAGCAAAGAATAAAAAATGGCAGGATATACACTAATAAAGTGTGAATTAAAAAATGATACCAAAATCAATTAACAAAATTTATCAAGTTTTGTAAAAAATTATATTTTAGAATGCATGGAATTAATATACAAATAAGATGCTGCAAAAATATAGAATAGAATTAAAATATATACGAAATGCAATAAGACAATAATAGTATCACACAATCCAAAATGTCAGGTGGCAGATAGAGGTTACCAGGGCACAGTATGAAGTATCACTCTTCGCAGATATTGCAAAGGAAGATGGGGCCATCCCAGGAATGGACCAGCCTCCTGAATTCTTTGAAGTTTTTAACTTTTCTGAAGTCATTTGGGAGACTGTTCCACACCCGGGCAGCCTCAAAAGCAAACGATTTATGTCCATACTTCACAGTGTTGACCCTGGGCACCTCTGTAGTATTTTCTTTCCTGAAGTTATAATTAGACATCTTAATATTTACAAGGTTATGAATATATTCAGGAGACATTTTGTTTATAATTTTAAAAACCTCACAACCCATATCCTTCGGACGCCTTACATGAAGCCTGTCGCTGTTGGTAATACTGAGTCAGTGTCTGAAGGATGAGTTGTGATAATTATGTATAAACCTTAAAGCTCTTTCTTGTATCTTTTCTAGCTTTCTGACACTCTTCATGGAACAAGAGTGCCAGACTTAAGGACAGTAGTTAAAATTTGAAACAAAAAAAGAATTATAAATTACACGTCTACCTTGTTTGGTTAAAAAAAAATCCCAATTCGCTTTAAAATGGACAAATGCTTTGATGCTTTACTACAAATTCAGAGATATGAGCTTCAATGTTTAAAAATGAATCGAAGTTCACACCTAAAAGTTTGACAACACTGTCAGGAACAATATCTGTTTCGCCAATACTAAAAGACTATAGCATCTACTGAACGTTTCTCTATACAAATGGCCTGGAATTTATGAGGGTTTGCTTTCATCTGGTTTAATTTAAACCAGTCTATAAAATATTGACAGTCATTTTCAATATTATGTTTTAAAACACCTTAGAGATAGACTTTTCAACCACGAAAGGAGAAACATTTTTTTTAAACAAATTTTTTGACTCATCATTATTGTGTAATCTCTTTTAAAATAGTTTCATCAGAAGAATCTTTTGTACCAATATCAGAAGCAACATTTACAAAATATTAAAAACATTGCTGACCTCTGGTTGATTACTGATAATGACCTCATTTTGTTTTAAAATTACATTGCATTGTACCGAGCCCTTATTTGGTAAAAATGGTTTAATGGTGGGCCAGAAATCTTTTGATTAAGGACCACCTGCACAGCGTTCCAAAGAATAGTTGCGCATAGTTTGTTTACGTAATTATGCCCCCGCCAAAAAATGGAGGGGCATGTAGTGTTCCCCATGCTCGTCCAGTCCCGATTCAATGTAAAAACGCGTCCCATCCCGATTCAATGTAAACACTTCATTCTTTGACAGATTTTGGTCAAACTTTTATACAAAGGTACAACTTCATTCTTTGACAGATTTTGGTCAAAACTTTATACAGAGGTACAACCCTCCATAAAATGGGGAGGCATATAGTGTTGCCCATGTCCGTCGCGTCCTATCCCTTCACAATTCAAGGCCAAGGTCACTTGCTATATATAGAAAATCATCAACTGATTCAATTTAAACACTTAGCAACTTCATTCTTTCACAGATTTTGGTCAAACTTTATACAAAGGTCAAATATGGGTATACCTCTGACATCCTTGTGTTTCAGGATTCCAAGGTCAAGGCCAAGGTCACTGTTGCTATATATAGAAAATCATCAACTAATTCAATTTAAAGACTTAGTAACTTCATTCTTTCACGGAGTTTGGTAAAATTTTGTATAAAGGTCAAGACTTTAAATGCCATGCAACCGAGACACAAATCTTAGCGTATTAATTCAACACAGATGGAACTACATTATCCAATGTAAACGAACATGACGGCTGCTGAAATATTGCGGGGCATTGTGAGACTTGACAATTTAATTGTAGACCATGTGTAAAAAAAAATGCAAAAAATGTTTAGAAAATACTTTAATTACAACAACAAAAAAGTCAAAGGTCTTCAATATTGTACAAAATGAACATCTGTTGGATTAACCGACGAAAAACAATTTAAACACTCATACAATTTATCAGAAATATTGACTGTTGCACTGCACTTATCTAACCATGACAGAATCAAATGATCTTTTTTGCTTGAATTTGCCCAACTTTTTCGGTAATGTATTATCACCTAGCGGGAACGAAACTAACAAATATTAAAATGGCAGACACTGATTTTGAACCAATGCATTGACATCCAAAATCATACAATGTTTGAATGATCAAAAGTTTGAGACAAGGCATTTCATGTTTATGTCTTGCCACAAAAACAAAAGCCTCACTCCGGTCAGATAACAGTACTGTGTCAACATGACAAAAGGATCAAAGCACTGAGTGGCGCACTCTCCTGTTTAACTCATCCGAAGTTACAATCAGCTGTTGTCCTACACTCTGTCGCAAGATCACACATTTCAAACGCTATCACGCAGCTATCAGCCATGGTTTCCTCAGTTTCTGACGATATGTTAGATAACGAAGCTGTTGTAGCATCTACCAACGGTATAGCCAGGTTTCCATGCAAACAACAAAATAAATGAATGCCTGGATTCCACGCAAATTCGAACTTTTCTCATTGCTCATTCAACTTCCAAAAATAACTCCCTTGTGGAGGCAAGGCCGGATTTCAGTGTTGACTGTTTTTATCCATGCACAAAATTTGTTCCAAGGTAAAAATCAATAATTTCAAATAAACTTTTAGCTCAGATTTCTTTTGATAAACTTAAATCACCCTATAGACATATTATACGCAATGGTATTGACACTAAATTGTGGAATAAAATTCAAGTGTTTGATAAAATTTTCAAAGTACTACTAATTTTTTGCTAATTTTGCAAGCGACAACACACTGTTTCAGCTATTGAACCAATTTTTGTGGACTGTGATTAAGGCAGGAATTTTAAAGTTGTGGGCCACAAAGCCTATGAAAAACTGAACAGGGGAAATTAAAATAAAACTCTTTAAGCTAGAAAAAGGCCTTTAGGATATGCTTTATCTTCTATATAGAAGGGAGAATACTCCATGTAAAATAAAACTCACAGTGGAACTCTTCTTTGCAATTATAACTGATGCAGTGATACCCTTTGGGATTAAGTTATAAAATATTACCACCATGCACATTTACTGTTGACAAGACCATTGATCCAACAGATAACAGAAAGGATAGAAAAGATCATATAACTGATGAAGATTGTACGATGATGTAGCCCTCTGGAATCTCTTGTTTCAGTATGAAGCCAGGTTTTGATGTGTTTGTCATAAATAACCCACTTGACTTCCTTAACACATTCACCCCAGAAGACACATTTTAACTATTCCTTTTCAAAGCTTGGAATAGTTCATTATGAAATTTCAGGGGTGAATGAGTTAATCATAACGTCAGCCTCTATACAGTGACATTGTGATTTATGTTTTTTCTTTACTATTAAGAATGAAAACAAAATTTGCATGTGCTTGGGTTGAAAATGATCACACCAGGATAGTACACACTATTTAAGCTTAACTTATTTTCCGAAAATTTGATTGAACAGGTTATAAAGCATAAAGAAACCTGAAACAACCTAATTATGATGTAGATGACACATACTTGTAAGCACAATGTTAAAATTTGTTACAATATCCTCCTACATAAAAGGCACAGTAGTCTAGTGGTAGTACGCGTGGCTCATGATCGAAGGGTTGCGAGTTCGACTCTCGTCAAGGCACTGTGTTTCATCTTTGAGCAAGGTACTTTACTCCGCTTGTTCCAGTCTACTCAGCTGTATGTGGTTGGGTAGTGCTAATATTGTAGAATGCTAGCTGTGAGTGCAGAAATGGCAGCACCAGCTGTATGCTCCCCAGGGAGTTGAGAAAGATGTTGGCTGGTTGCAAAGGCCCTATAAGCACGGCTGATAATTTGTAAACAGCTTTGAGGCGACCTACACACTAGGTTGTGATAAAGCGGTATACCAAGAACCTTGAATTATTATTATTATTATAACATGTATGTCAGGTGCTTGTCATTATGTTGCTTTACATAATGTAACACCCAACATTCACACAAGTACTCGTTTAGGTTTACATGTACAACCATAGTTCACATTCCCACCAGTAATCTCATTACATCCAAATTTGTAGCCATCTTGATAGCTCCAAGTAAACTATGTAGTGCCTTGATTATAAAACACTGACCATAATGCTCTACATTTTGTACTTTCAGACCGAAGGCACAGTGAAGCCATGCAGGAATTTCAATGCGGAGAATGATGCCAATGTTCTCAGGAAAGCCATGAAGGGGCTTGGTATGTTTATACTTGTAACTGTTCTCTGTTACTAAGGAAAGCCATGAATGGGCTTGGTATGTTTATACTTGTAACTGTTCTCTGTTACTTGGGAAAGCCATGAATGGACTTGGTATGTTTATACTTGGAAAGCCATGAATGGGCTTGGTATGTTTATACTTGGAAAGCCATGAAGGGGCTTGGTATGTTTATACTTGTAACTGCTCTCTGTTACTTAGGAAAGCCATGAAGGGGCTTGGTATGTTTATACTTGTAACTGTTATATGTTACTTAGGAAAGCATTGAAGGGGCTTGGTATGTTTATACTTGTAACTGTTATATGTTACTTAGGAAAGCCATGAAGGGGCTTGATATGTTTATACTTGTAACTGTTCTCTGTTACTTAGGAAAGCCATGAAAGGGCTTGGTATGTTTATACTTGTAACTGTTAAAAGTTACTTAGGGAAGCCATGAAGAGTTTGGTATGAATGTACTTTTATAGGAATCTTTTTTGTATTGCAGGAACGGATGAAAAGGCCATCATAGATATCTTGGCTTTCCGATCAAATGAACAAAGACAGCAGATCAAAATCATGTTTAAAACCTGCTTTGGTAGGGTAAGTATCACTCACAAGACAGTAACATGGGGGTACAATTTGGTAATTGAAAAAGGGGAAATATGTCTTTCTTTAGGTAGTAATTTGTAATTGTTATTTTTTTTATGAATACAATTTGTTCACACTGCATGTTTCGATGTAGACTTTCTGAAATCTTTAAGAAGGGCCCTGCATTCATTTCTTCCCTAAACATAAACCTACTTAAATATCATCTTGGCAAGGTGTCTGCATAATAATGTCATCCCCACAAATACATACAGATTCTGATGAAACTTGTTCAGCTGTCCAAAGATTAAGGTTTAGTGCAATTGACAATGAGATCACCTTCATTGGGAAGTTGTTCTTATATATTAATACCCAGATCAATTTAAAGGAAAATTAAATGAAGGTAATTAATACTTATTCTCAAGTTTTATTCAAGTTCAAATCAATCTAGCTTTGTTTGACTTATAATTAATTTTAGCAATTAATAATCCCAAACTTTGGAAACAAAACAAAAACCTTGGACAGGAAGTAATGCGTTCTGGCTGTAATAGAAATCTTTGTGAACCATATACCATACCATATACCATACCATATACTATACCATACATCATATACCATACCATATACCATATACCATACCATATATCATATACCATACCATATACCATATACATGAAACTATTGTCTGCAGGTTCTTATGTGCATTATGGAAATAGGGTCTAAATCACGTACAAGGCAATCTCTTACTTCAGGCTTGATGTTTATCTAAAAAATACAAGTCAAAAGGTTCTTAATTTTGGTGCTTGGAATTGTCTTCTGATATCTCAAAAGGAACAGCAAACACCATAATGAATATAAATCAGAATCTTACAAGAATTTGACTTGCAAACACATGAATGAATTTTTATTGTGGTGTGGCAGCCATCATGCAGACGACAATTCACCTGTAGTTTCTGCTTTGTTCACCGTAAGTACAACATGCATGCACATACTTACTGTGAGTCTCACGAATTATTCAATACATACTATACTTATACAACTATAAGATCTTCATACCAACCAAACATATAATTTCTACCTATAAACACCACTGTTGTGCTGTCTCTAACGTCGCTCAACAAAAACATATTCATATGTAAGCACACCTTCTCATCTCTAAATTCTGCCATTGCTGACAGTCTTCATATAATTGTACACTTCCACAATGTTAATTGTTTGAATTGTTGTTCATGTGTTCATGCAACATTTGTCACATGTTCTCCTAAGTAAACACAGGCTTACAAATGACTCGGATGAACTGTTGACAAACAGCGATCCCCTCAGTGGTCTGCAAACGCTGGGTCAGAACGGATCACCGCCCCATAACCATATGTATACTCTCTGAACATGAAGGAATGAACACAATCATGCTACCGCTATTAGCTCTGAGTTCTGGCCTTACCCATAGGGGTTTCATTTGCAATATTACTTTAACTGAGAATATTTTGCCATTATTGTTTGAATATCCAGGCTCTTGGCCTCTTGTGAGTTGTTTGTTGATGAAATGGCAATCATGATTGATATCACTGTTTATCATTTTCTTCCCAAGGATCTAATTCACGATTTGAAGAGTGAGCTAGGCGGCAAGTTTGAAGATGTGATATTGGCTTTGATGATGAAACCTGAGGAATTTGATGCTTATGAGCTGAAGCGAGCTATGAAGGTAACTCATTGTAGGACTAATCATGTAGACTTGTTTTTAAGAAATATTGTACACATAAAATGTTAATGTTCATATGGAAGAAAGCAATAAATACATATATTTTTTCACAGAAATTCTTTTCCAATGCCATACATAATATCTTCTATATCTAATTTTCAACTATACACCAGGGAAGTGGTGAAAAATGATGAAAGTTATAGGGTAACAGACCTTGTAGAAAATAGCTCATAGAAACATAATGTAATATGTGTGTTTAATTGTCCTGTAGGGACTACATAATGTAATATGTGTGCTGTATTGCTCTGTAGGGACTACATAATGTATTATGTGTTTAATTGTCCTGTAGGGACTACATAATGTATTATTTGTGTTTAATTGTCCTGTAGGGACTACATAATGTAATATGTGTGTTAAAATGTCCTGTAGGGACTACATCATGTATTATTTGTGTTTAATTGTCCTGTAGGGACTATATAATGTAATATGTATGTTTAAATGTCCTGTAGGGACTATATAATGTAATATGGATGTTTGGTTGTCCTGTGGGGACTACATCATGTATTATTTGTGTTTAACTGTCCTGTAGAGACTATTTAATGTAATATGTATGGTTAAATGTCCTGTAGGGACGATATAATGTAATATGGATGTTTGGTTGTCCTGTGGGGACTGTATAATGTAATATGTTTGTTTAGTTGTCCTGGAGGGACTATATAATGTATTTTGTATGTTTAGTTGTCCTGTAGGGACTACAAAATGTTATATGTGTGTTGTATTATCCTGTAGGGACTACGTCATGTATTATTTGTGTTTAATTATCCTGTAGGGACTATATCATGTAATATGTATGTGTAGTTGTCCTGTAGGGATTATATAATGTAATATGCATGTTTAGTTGTCCTGGAGGGACTATATAATGTACTATGTATGTTTAAATGTCCTGCAGGGACTACACAGTGTAATAGGTATGCTGTATTGCTCTGTAGGGACTACCTAATGTATTATGTGTGTTTAATTTCCTGTAGGTACTACATAATGTAAAAGGTGTGTTGTATTGCTCTTTAGGGACTACATAATGTGATAGGTGTGTTGTATTGCTCTGTAGGGACTACCTAATGTATTATGTGTTTAATTGTCCTGTAGGGACTATATAATGTAATATGTATGTTTAAATGTCCTGTAGGGACTACATAATGTAATAGGTGTGTTTAAATGTCTAATAGGGACTACATAATGTAATAGGTGTGTTGTATTGCTCTGTAGGGACTAGGAACGGATGAGGATGCCATGATTGAAATCTTATGTACAAGGAGTAATAAAGAAATCCAGGCCGCCAGTGCTGCCTATAAAACATGTGAGTGTTTTAGTGGAGCTGTTTGATTAAAGTCTGTATGTTTTGGTAATGAGGGTTTTAAGTTTCCTGAGTGTTTTAGTGGACCTGTTTGATTAAAGTCTGTATGTTTTGGTAATGAGGGTTTTAAGTTTCCTGAGTGTTTTAGTGGAGCTGGTTGATTAGAGTCTGTATGTTTTGGTAATGAGGGATTAAAGTTTCAATCTCGATCTTAACTTTTTCCTCAGGAAAACATATCAAGTGATGCTTTGCATTTAACTTAGTATACAAAAATGTAGAAGTATGTTTATGTGCAATTTTCTCATCAGAAATGAAAAAAAGATTAAATACAGGTTACTCCTTGATCTTATAAAAACAAAACTTCAGAAATCGTAATAAGAAACTTACTGCACACAATGAACTGTTTGGTGTTTCAGTGTATAAAAGTGTCTTGGAGAAGGCCATACAGGGAGACACATCTGGAAACTTTAAGCGGCTGATGATATCCATGTCAGCAGTAAGTGTCGGTCAATAGGCTACATCTTGACGCGTAAGCTTACACCCGATTCGTATTGTAACAGGCCTGATCATATAATTCAATGTGACATCTACATCTTTTACAAATAAAGGGTTTGGCCCTCCTGGGGGTAGAGGGACAGGGCCCAATAAGAGAATTTAGGTTTAAAATCCTACTCCTTGAGTGAGAGTAAAGTGATTTGTACCTTATTTAGTCTGTAGCATCCTTGGGAAAAGGGAACCAATTGTTCTATACAATCCTAAACCTGGAGTATATATGTAGGTAAAGCCATTTAACCTAATTTAGTCTGAAGTTTCCTTGGGCAACTGGGACTCAACATGGTTGAAATGGAGGATGTTACCCCTGGGGAGTATAGGGGCAGGGCCTAATGGGGGGAAACTGGAAATTGATTAGATCCCCATGCTAAAGCCACATAAACATTTGATGGGCATGAAGTAACAAATACACACATGATACCAGGATTATAGCCATACCCCTGGGGACTTATTCCATGGGTCTTATCTTGGAAATAGGAGTCCTTATTTGCCTCAGAAGACTGAGCCACGACCCGCCGCTGAGGATCTAGTCACTGGGGCCATATCTTGGAAATGGTTCAGATCCCAATGATAAAACTGAATACCCTGGTACTCATTTGTCGGTTATGATGAAACAAATACATCTATGCTACTTGAATTGGCCAGGTCTGTTTCACCCCTAGGGACTTGGTCATTGGATCATAACAAGGAACATTTCAGATCCCTTCTCCATTATTAGCCAAATGTAACAAATAGGGGTTAACCTCTCAGGGAACTGAGGCTGGGGCTACTCAAAGAAGGAGCTGACCCCTTCCCCCCTTTCCCAGATCCCCTGGGGGCTGAGGGGGAGGGGGGCATATTATAGATGATCAGGTCAGTATTTATAAAACCTTCAAACATCATCTACTCTTAAAGTTACTGGTGGACTAAGATCATAAAATGATCCTTAGATGAAGAAGACCAGGATGTATACGCAGGAAAGAATCTTAGGGATGAAGATATGGTATGAGTGGTTGATCAGTTCAGAATATTCAAATCCTCCTCTAAAAGTTAATGGTGGATTTAGACCAACATTTATTAAAACTATACAACGATAATGTGGATCAGAACCTACACTCAAGAAGCGGCAGACATCTGAGGGGTCTGTTGGCGGGGCCATCAAGGACCACAGCTTGCTAAACCTATAAATGATATCTCTTCTGAAATGAACCAGTGATTTTATATCAAAAACAATACTTACCACGTCCAATTATTATGCAAATGATCTCCAACTACCAGTTCTTTAACTCCCAAAGTAAAGTTTCAAATGCCCCGCGCAAATGCGAAACTACTCCCTGTCCAAACTGGACATACGGGTGTAGGATGCGCGCGCACCTCCAACTTCCTCTTTCTTCAACTCGAAAGAAGCACATGACGGTTATTTCTACCCTGGACTTCGTTCAAGTTTTCTGAGGGTGGTAACCTGTGTCATTGTTTGTT